AGGCCTGGCGAACCACAACATAATGAATTCGAGCCTAATAATTGAAAGAAACAATTTAGACCTTTCTGGATTTTTTGGTCTACAAATACTTACCCTTTCTTTTAAGTTCCCCGTTCAGCACTCATTCTATTGCCTTTGACAGGCACATATGGTCAAGAAAAGCGACCATATATTTTTATGCGTCTATTTCCGTCTCACTTGAATTTAAAATTAGACGGTACATAAATTTGGGTTTGCTTGCGAAAGGATTTAGCTATTAGCAGTAAAACAATTGACCACGATTGAAAGATGTCGAATCTAGTCATCGACTTACATCCAGATAACAATTCCACAGGCTCGCTATCAGCTGCGGAGCCGAGTTTTTGAAGCGCATGTCAATGAAGGCAATGTATCGCGCGTAGAGGTTGCGTTAGAAATCAGCAGGTGATGAGGGCGGTAATCCTTGGTTCAGCATGAGTTACCCTCGCAAGTACATCTACAATTATTCTTCTCTTCATAGCTGAATACTGTATGGCTCTCATTCTGTAGTCCTCGTCATGGAAATTGATTTATAAGAACATTGGTATTTTCCAACAATCGTCTTACATCACAAAAAACATCGGAGGTGTGCTGAAATTAAGAAAGTCAAAATTAATGATGTATGTATAACTTGTTAATCAGAATGCATATAGATATTTCCAGTGCTACTAAAAACCACTCGAAGCTCAAAACTGTGTAAGTAATAGGGTCCCAGGATATAATTGTGTCCTCCGCCGATAGTATAGCACATGGCGCCCAAATTCCAGAGCTGCGACTCACCGGAAGCGCACTTCCTTTCTCAGTAACGGTTGTAGTACTTACGCTTCCTTGTACTCGGGGATAAAATCGGCCTACCTATCATCTGTGTTCCGGTCCAGTGGCGCAACGGAACAGAGTGATACTGGCTCCGCGTACTCCGCCTGCCATGTGCCTTAAGCTTTTCCACAAGTACGGAATGATCCGGCGTCCCTTGATTTGCGCGTCTATAGCGGATTGAGCGTAGTTTTGCTAGGGATCGGGACACTGCTGGTAAGTGCGATTTTGTGCTGCGTTAATGTCCACCAAAAGTAGCTGCCGAAAGTTCTGTATCGGATTCTGCATATCTGTGAACCAGATAACGCTTATATCATACAGGAATGAATCAGACTCAAATATCGCTTCTTTACTTCAATTTTTGAGTGACTTCGGCGAAACGTGGGTAGCACGTATCAATAATGCAAGCTACCGTCTACCGAGTTCGTCAGCATATTTGAGAACACCAGTTGATACTATTTCTAACAGAATTCACAGTCAAAACTCGGCTTTCTCGTGCAAATCAAGTCGGGGATACCTCGTTTGACCGTGGACGGCGAGCATAAATATGCATGCGTCTAAGGTATCATGAACGCTTTATTTTCTCGTTATATGTATGTATATACAGGCCGCTATGTTTAGACGGATGATGTAAAATTTCGGGTATGCGGGTTAATTTCTGGACTTAGATGTATTCGACATATTTCGGCGCCTGGATGGCTTCGTTCCTCACTCATGCGGCCATCTATTTCAGTCGGCTGGCAGTCGATGCCTCGAAAGTGTTTAAGGTCTGCAGCCTTCGGGCCGAAATTTAGTCTATCGTATTATCATTTCCGTTATAGGACATGTATTTAGAGTTCTTCCCAATGAACCCAGTATTCAATAGGCCTAATCAGTTATGCCCATCAATCAGATGACAAGGATGCGAAAACACACCTGCCTTGTGATTCTTCCCTCAAGAAGAATTGGCCACGACGTTGTCTGTACGATCGGATTTGCGCTCCTCAGCCTTGGAATAAAGACTGACAGCAACGAAGAGCGGTTCAAGGTACGAAGCCACTTCCCTTCAGAGGTCGAATAGAAGTTAAGCTTGGAATGGAAGAGTGCCAAGTCTCTGAATATAGTTACAATACAAAAAGTACAACGAATTGTGAATAAACAAACCGCTTTTCAAGTACCCGAAACATATTCCTTCTGATACGGCTTCCAAGATCGAATAAGTTTACTCCTTATTGCTTCTAGAAAAGTGACGTACTTTGTCCTAGCCAACGTCACAGGTTTCCTCATGGGTAGAGGTAAGAAAATTAGGCAACGGACTACACAATCAGTACCGTGCGGCGACAACCCCTTCGCAGATTGGAGAAGCTCCGAATTCTGTTCTGCACTTCGGCCGCTAGATGGTACCTTCAAGTGAAGGTAGGTCAGAGGAGATGGTAACATTTTAGGAAATGAATGGGAGGAGCCGGGCAAGAGTCTAGCGTATCGATTTCTGTCTGCGGCCATTCGAATCACCTGTCCTGAATCTACAGTTGCCGTGGATAGGATTCTCAGTCTTGGAAGGATCGCACATGTAGCCATTTTTTCTAATATAATCCCAAAAGGAAGGTGTAGGAGCTCGACATTGGAAAGTATCGTGAAGAACTTCTCGATGGCTTGAAATGAAATTTCATTACATCGGCACTTCAAACAATCTCTGGGGATGTGAGGGGGCAGAAAATCGATTAGGAGTAGGCGTCGGAGTGTTTTAGATATGCGCGCAGAAATTTGGTGTATAGTAATACGTCCCAATCTTGACACTGATCAAACTTTTTCAACACAACGTTTTGAACCAATAGTAATCTAAGAGACGAAAACAAGCGCTTGTTTGGATATAGAAGCTCAAGTTCAAGTTTCGTAAGCCTATGCATCGCCACTGTGGGCAGACTGTGATGTGGACATAATGGCTTCGCGAATTCAACGAGGAAATGCGCCTCCTCGAGTGTTAGGGAAATTGTAGCCAAGAGCTCAAGCAAAGCGGAGGGGCTGATTGGATGAGATATCACGTTCAAGGAATTTAGCTGATGCCATGGTAGACAAAGTTTGGTGTGTGGAAGACCATTGAAGAAACGCAGTGTAGCTCTAGTCAAGTTTAGGACGGAGTGGAGAGCTGTAAACTGACGAATTTCCCTATCTTCGAATATTAAAATTCGTTCATCCCACGTATTCATTGGCCAGATGTCAATAAATTCGAGGGCGCTAAATCCACCAGGGTTTAAACATAGAAATGTTGTAATTTCACTCCTGCCATATAGAGGGCAAGCCAGGGCCTTCAGACGGTGGCAGTAGGGGACGACGACGTCCTTGACGATACTGAATGTGAGCTCTTCCTGCACCATTTTGAACGAGATAGATATGTTATTGGATCTACATCGTACGACACAGGTATACAACTGCTTCTCGATGACAGTTCTTTGAGGCTTCGCAAAGAGTATGTTGTCCCACAGAAACGGTGTTGTGTGAACAGCGTCGAGCCATGTGTGGCACACTAGGCTCACTTGCACACGTTGATCCGACCAGCAAAAAGGTATGAGAACAGGAAGCCCAGCACAAGTATACTCGAGGATCGTCTGCAGCACATTTGTTGGAAAATTGGAGAAAGTGGCGTCAGTGACAGTCGCCATCGATAAGAGCGTGGATGGTTTTCCTCAAGGTCGCAGACTATAAATACGTGTCGCAACAAAGACAGGATTACTCGGTGACGAGAAGAATCCTTTATCAGAGAATTTATGGTCTTACAGACAAAGGAAAGAACATGCAAAGAAGATCTAGAAACTGGCTGGTCAAAGCACAAAGCGCGTTCTGCACCTCTGAGGCAAAGCGCGGGAAAGATCTTGAACAAATCTTATCTTATCTCTTGTAGACATGGTTCATTTTCGTTTGTTTCTCTTCCACCATGACCACATCGACGCGACACGACGGCCGGAAACATCATGAATTACGCCCTATAACGATATTTTACGACGGATTAGCTCGAGTAGATGGATCAGCGCGGTTTGGCTTTGGTGCGTTGAAAGCCCGTCTCTTGCTCTGCTTGTGTCACATTGAACTTTATAGGCGAAAGCACGGCTGCACTGGCCTCCGTCTCTGGGCCTATTGAAGTCCGTTTGGCGTCTGAACTCCCCTCAAAAGCCACCTTCGAAGTTCTTGTACGGCCACTGGCCAACGTCCCTGCCACCGAATCCAAGTTGCTCGCCTCAATGATCAAAGCTACACTGGAGCCATCACTGATCCTCACCAAGAACCCCCGTACACTTGTTCAACTCGTCGTCCAAGCCCTCAGCTCTCCCTCGAATGCGACATGGAAGGATACTCACATCGCTGCAATGGCCAACGCGAGTACACTAGCGTTCCTGCAAGCCTGCTCGGTCCCGATGCAGGGCGTCGTAACTGCGGTGGCTATAGGCCGTTTGGTTGACGGATCGTTGATCGTTGATCCCAGTGAAGACGAAATGAGTTCATTGCAGGCAGGAGGATGCTTCGTGTTCATGTTCTCAGGCAGCAGTACGGGCTCTTCGGTATCCAACATCGATTGTGTTTGGTCGAGCTGGAAGTCAACGAGCGGGCGATATAGTCAAGAGGAACTCTTCAAGGCGAAGGAGCTGGCGAAAGTTGGGGCACAGGCTGTATACGAGGAAGTCAGGCGGAGCCTTGAAAAGCGAAGTGGTGCTACCGCCATTCCGATGTTGGTTGTTCAGGAAAAGGAAGCAGTGAAGGAGGAGGGAACTTTGTCCTCAGACGAGAAAATGGAGATCTGATCGTACGCATTTTCTTTGGTCTTCTATAATAGCTGATATTAATAATAGATAGGGTAGCCCTCGTTGTGCCCTTCAAGATATATACCTCATTACCTCAGTATTTCCTCGTGTACTCTCAGGACGCTCGTGAATGTCATGCTCTTCAAAGTGGAATCTGTTCCAATACTGTCATTAGAACGATCACCTCGCTCCGTCTTCTCAGTGTTTACCAGACTCGAATTTAGCTTCAAAAACTAAACGCGGTATAGGAGAAATTGCGTTGTAAGTTGCAGTAATGCCATCGAATTTCCCCAAAAAATTTGAAGCTAATAATTAAATGCTAGTTTCGCTGATAGCTCACAGCCTCAAACGGCCTCATCGAACAAACATACTTAGCGATCAAAAAAATACACGAGGCGACGCCAGCAGGATTTGAACCTGCGCCCTCAAAGAGGAACAGATAAGTAGTAATTCTAATCTGTCGCCGTAACCACTTGGCTATAGCGCCGATGGAAGACAATCTCGGAGGGAGAGTCCCGGTCGGCGTCACTGCGGTGGGTGCTTTTTCCACAACGTCCGAAAATTCACTCACCGTCAACAGGCCTTAGGGTTTCCTAACCGACTCTCTGTCCTTTTTTTATGCTCCAAGGAGTACCTCATTAGGCTTTATCTCTCTATACTGGCTTCTCGCTCCCTTCCGACGTCGCGGTTTACGCTTATCATGGCGAATGGACGGCTCAACATCATATTTAACCTCGAGGATCAAGGGTTGAGCATCCTTGAAACTCGGGAATCACCCATTTGAGGTTCAATACAAACTTCCTCGCGCAAGACTATGAACCTGATGGAAGGCCTTCATATTACGACACGGCCTCGCGATGATACATATACTCAGAGCATATCGTAAGGCACGACCCACCCCAAACCCATCCCACTTCCTGCTCCACATGGTTGGCGTATTCCCCCAAGAGATCTACGAAGATGTCGTTGGATATCTGAAGGACGACCCCGTCGCTCTCAAGGCGACGTCTCTCACTTCATTCTCCCTGATTGCGGTTTCCCAGAAATATCTTTTCTCGCGCGTGGTTCTTTATCCGTCTATAATGATGGACCGCTGGTCGTCTTCCAAGAAGCGGGCGACGTCCGCTCAATTAAAGCGAGTTTTAGCTGACTCGCCGCATTTAGGGTGTTATGTTCGAAGTTTGGAGCTTCACCTCTGCGCTGACCGACATCAATGGCTTGGATGGACGTCGTCTCTCGATTTCACCCTCCATCATTTATCCAAACTCCAAAGTTTAGTAATTAAAGTTGACCAAGCGTCTCCGCTGTCGAATGGCTATATGACAAGACCACGCGAAGACCACAACGGCGTCGAGAGGATAACGCAGGCGTTGATACGTACTCTTCAAATCCCGTCACTCCACTCCCTCGAAACACATTATTTTGATACTTCGATTCTCTCTCACTGCCGAAATCTCAAGGAGATCACGTTGTCGAGCCCCATCATACCGCGTACTGTATCCAATGTCGTACCTCAGACCTCCGTCGACGACAACCTCGTTTTTTTGGATGCCTTGCGAGTGGAAACTTCTTCAGGCAGCGACGTCGGTCGCGAGACGCGGATTCGAGAGGTCCTCTTGGATCATGGAATATCACTCGCACGGTTGAAACGATTATCGAGAGTGGCATGGGGGGTCGGCAACGACCTCGTGTTGGCCGAGCTGTGGGATATCTTTAGTGAATGTGGTGATTCCCTAGAATCTCTAGAGCTTCAAACGTACTTTACCGTTGAAGGTACGGGATTCTTCATTGTGAACGTGGATTAATCTGATGGTCAACAGATATCCATTCGCTTGATACGAGGAAATTCAGGCTCCAATCGCTGCGCATCCTGCACCTCCATCTATACTCGTACGATCCCACCACTTCGCGCGAAGACCAGCAACACCTTATCGCCTCGCTGATCGATCTTTGTTTCCCTTCCCAAGACGGAAGGACCACTTACGTCTCAAGCGAACTCGAATGCCTCACCCTAACCGAACACAACATTCGCTGGGATCATCTGCTCATCGGGAACTTCCTTGTGAAGGTATTGACCGATCGCGTGCGCTACCCGAAATTCAGGAAGCTCTGTTGGGATGCATGCATCAATACGACTCGTATTTTAAAGGAGCATATTTTCTCAAATGTTAAGGATACGTTGCTGTTTGAGGTAGAGCTGGGCCCCGGCGCGTTGTGGAGCGAGTACGTATATTAAGTTGAGGCTATAGATACCTGCTCATCAAGTCGTGGTTTCTGTTTTTTCAGGATTATGAGGCCTTTTTCTCGAGCGTTGAGTCTAGGGAATAATGAGGAGAATATGGTGTTGTCCTCAATGATTGTAGACTACTGTTATTCAACTATTGAGTCCAGTCGACCGAAATCGCGAATCCTCAGATGAAATAGATTGTCATCAATATTTGAAACGTATATGTTAGCTATGTACGTATACGTGGATTTGAGACGTCGCGTATTCGCCCACCGTCACTCCCGTAAAAAGACGCTGCCCACGAACAGGTTCACCCCTGTGTTATACCACATGAGGCGATGCGTTTTGGAATCTACTAATTGTGTTTAAAGTGTCAAAGGGATTTACGGGAACACGCGGTCTACGACCAAAGGTAGAAATTGACGAACCTGAGGGAGTAGTAGACAAACGAAGGGAAGTTGGTCTGCTGGCCCAATCCGCTTATATCTTCCGACAAGGCGTAGTATAGCTTTAGCTTTACGATGCACGAACATCGTGTCATGCTTGGCTGGCATGGTATGCGACGAAAAGGAGGCTCTTGATCCAAGTAAACTAGCGCGCGGCGCCATAGAACTACCGCGAAGAGATCATTCTCGAATATCGACGAGCGAATCAAACCTGAATAGTTCAAAATATGACCTGCAGTACGAAGCGAGAGACTGGCACAGATACAGATCCTTCGGCGTATGCTGTGGCTACAAATAGTCGATTACAACCTCGTCTTAAAGAAATAGCACGCCGTCTATAGTAGAGACACTACTAATAGACTGATATGAACCAGGTTCAGGATTCGTATTCATTGTAGAATAAGCTCATACCGGGGGTCCATGTTCAAACAGTTCCAGGCTTTTTTGAGATAATGTATGCGCTCTGAAGTGGACAAATTCGGGCTGGAGAATGGGTTTATTACAAGACGAGAGTGTCCGAGCTGAATAATGAGCGAGCCGCAGAGACTAATTTCATCAAATCGTTTACAATCTGTTAAGCAAGGGACAGGCGGCGATATCGGTAGCGGGAAGCTCGTAGAGAATCGCGTCGAGGACGGTGGAAGGTAAAGTATCGTGAGGATGGCGCAGATTGCACATTGTTCTCTTCTTTAGCAGCGATAACGACCAGCGCGTTGGCCGTAGCACATTGATCATCGAGGAAGTGCTCCGGATGATTTTCCAAGTGCCACACAACATACCTTGAGTATTGAGCGACTTGAGAGGAGCTTATGAATATAAATAATACTACTCTTCGTTCTTGTTCATCGATACAAGGCTATCGTTAATTTGGCGTTCGAACAAAACCCGAAAGGTCCTCGGTACACATAACAATGAGAGTGACAGTAGGCTAATAATACATTCGCCTAGGCACACACTCGGTCTTTCCCCACCCTCCGCAGGTGAAGAGTGTGAATAGAACGGCGAGAGCCAGAGAGTGTCTGCGATTCGGACCGTCGGGCTGACGTTCATACATACAGGTAGTAGGGATGCGTATGTATATCGTGTTGTTCGCCGACGTTGAGGGAAACAGCGGGAGGGAGACGACGGGGTATGCGTGATAAGGCGTCGAAATATGGGGATAAAGGTCTCATTCGTCCAGACGTAATCGTGGTAGACGGCTAACTATCACGTCCATCAAGTATATAGGCCGGAGGCGGTCCCAGCCCATCGGTGGATGTTGTATTATTGTTCGGCCGTACAGAAGCTCGTCCGTCGGTGGGTTGCGTGCTCGGTCTTGGGACAGTAGGTTGGGAGCTCAATCGTGACGTCGCTCGTCCATCTTGGTCGCTAGGAGGTGGTCGTGGATTTTGCCTTGGAGACGACGGTTTGGGCGGGGGTACAGGGTTGGTGGGTGGAGGGAATGACATGTCGTTGGGTGCATATGGCGGCGAGTATGGGCTGGAGTAGTCGGGGTAGGAGGGCGTATTATATGACCTCTGCGTAGGGTAAGGGTATGCTGGAGCTGGGGGTGGTACGTATGGCGATTGTTGCGTTGAATAGTCATAAGCATTGGAGTTTCGTGAGTACGGCGGATTGACCGGTGTGACAACGGGGAACAAAGCTCTCCTTCCTGCAAAGATCGTGATTCGTGAGTGAAGCCAAGCAGATGAAACGTAAGCTGATTGCTCAAGGAGGAAACACGCACGCATTCTCCGAACGAACACGATCCTAGAGATCACCGAAATCGTTGCGATGAAGATGATACCTATGATGGCACCGAGATAAACGGTCTTCGAAGGTCCATTGGTGGTGGGTATCATGGTGGGGGATGAAAGACAGTAAACGTACCGAAAATCGCTACTCAGGTACTCCCTGTCCTTGCGTTCTGCCCTGTCATGTCCCCGTGGCTTGTCAGTCGAGTGTTATGCGGTGATCCGCTAAAAATAGATCCCTGGGACTGTGCGACCGAGATTCCTCATGGACGAGACACATGAGAATCCGAGCTTCAGGCCCAAGTGGTATCGTACTTGTTCAACGTGTTGAAAACTGAATTGAGATAATCAGAGTTGGGAGAAAGACATCAATGTTCGCTGATGGACGGACGGGTGCCGGAAAGGGGCTTCGGCAACTCCCGTATACCAAAACGATCAATTCTGGCGGCTCACGTCACACTCTGCTCCCAGGCTCCAACTACATACACCCTTCAGTTTGCCTTCAAAGAATTATTGGCGTATTGACACCCCAGAGGATATTTCATACCTCTTCGTGTTCCGATGCAAACTATGGAAGGCAAATTCGGTACCGCGTTGTCGTTTTTCGGTTGTTTTCCTCGTATTTAATTCCCTACATAGAAATCGCCGCCACATCAAACCCGACTTTACATCACAGATCGACATCCAGCGCTCTTTTGATGCCGAAAGAGTAGGTCTTACGTTCGCATCCTCTTTCTTTCTTTACTTCCAACTCCATAGCGCCTGTCAGAGGGCTATTCTCGGATTCGACACTCTCTGTCCGCCTTTGAGGCGGTACAACTCCACATTCTTTTAGATATGAGCCAAGGAACTGATTATGACGACTCCAACTCCGGTATCACGTACTCGAGCGGGTGGCAAGCGGAGAGTGGAACTATCTCACAGCAGTTCGACAACACCATACACAGTACGAGCGCGAACGGCGCCTCCGCTACTATCAAGTTCACGGGTGAGCTATTCATTGTTTTTTACGGCTATGAAAGCTCTTTACAGCGCTTTCAAAGTATAATGATATTGCGCGAATTTTCAGAGTGACGGTGAC